CTTTTCTTTAAACAGCAGCACGGTTTTCAAAAGGTACTTTCCTGCGAAACGCAACTCTGCGACTTCATCCATGACTTGCACACTAACCTTAAATGTCACGTCCAAACTGACGCAGCTTTTTTTTTTTTTTTTTTTCCAAAGCGTTCGGCCGTGTCCTCCATCAACGTCTTCTTTCTAAGCTATCATCTTTTTGCCTCGACCAATAACCGTTTGCATGGATTCGTGACTTTCTTTTTTCCCGTGTACAGGTCACGTCCATGATGATCATGAATCTTCCTTAATAAATGTATCTCCTGGTGTTCCCCTGGGGTTCGTACTTGGGCCCTTACTCTTTTTAATATTTATTAATGACATTCCCATTGGGATTTCTTCAAAAAAACGCTTTTTCGCCGACGACTGCGTCATCCATAACAAAGTAACTTGTGTGCAAAATAATAACCAGCTTCAGGAAGATCTAGATAAAATTAACAATTGGTGCAAAGAGTGGATTATGTCACCAAACAAGTATAAACGCAAACTAATCCACTTCACCAAGAAAAAAACCACTCTGTCATTTAATTACTTCTTGGACTCCGATCTGATTGAGACCGCTACTGTGTATAAATACCTTGGTGTAAGACTAACATCTGACCTTCCCTGGAATAACCACATTGAAGTCATTACCGCCAATTCATCTGGAACTCTTGGACTAAGCAGACGTAACTTAAAAAATCGCTCCACCCTTTGTCCCTAAGCTAACCTTTAACACGTACGTCAGACCAAAAATAGAATATGCTTCAACCATCTGGAATACCCATCGACTGTACTTCATCAATACGCTGTAGAGGCAGTTCAGAACAGAGCTGCTCACTTCATTTCATCCACTTATGACTTTTCTTTCAGTGTCTCGGCGCTAAAAACTGAACTAACCATGTCCTCTTTGCAGCTTCGCAGGAAAGTCTCTCAGCTGTGCCTTATTCACAAAATCTACTACCACATTCCCGACCTCAAAACCACTTTGTTATTACCCCTCGACCGAACATCTTCTCGCCTCAACAACGTCTGCACCATCAAACACACTTCTGGCTCTACGAACGCTTTCAATTGGTCATTCCTTTCTCAAGCCATCAGCCACTGGAACAGTCCCCCATCCTCCATTGTCACCATCTTGGACCCGGCTGATTTCTCCTCTGCAGTAAAACTACACCTTTCTTGGCCCATGTGATGGTGTGCGGGGCTAGGCAGATCAGTGAAAACACTTACGCAGAGCGCTTGCCAGGCCAGACTTGTACGTAGTTCAACTACTTTACTCAAGTTACTGTAGTTTAACTACTTTTCTGGGTAGTTTAGTAACTTTTAATTACATTTCTATTCTAGTAATCAGTAGTTTACTTTAACTACTTTTCCGAGTGACTTCCACTCAAATTACAAATTACTTTCTAATTTTAGTGGTTGTTTTGCCTATCAACAGAGAACAGAGGTCGGAAGGTCAGCTGATATTTGCAGAGGGGGAAGCATGCGGAGTAGAAAAGGGGGGGATGGGAAGGAAGAAAGTGATTTAGATAGTCCAAAAAACCCCAAAATTTTAACGAGCCCCCCCACTGCAACAACACTGCTACGAGGCGCGGGGAGCGAACAGACACGACGCAAGAGAGGTCGAGTAACTGTGGGATTAGCTCCGAATAGTGGCGTTTCTTTGTATTCCGAAGCTCAAGGAGACTTGACGCATTTGAAAAAAGGGCTTGTCCCCGCTTCTCTCCAATGTAGGAATTCTTGCCCACTACAGGAGGTGCACACACTGCTCCTTTTACGGTGCAGGCGATAGAACCCCTAACAACGACGCTCACGCCGGATGGGCTGCTCGTGTATCACTCGAAGCGCGTTAACCCACCCCCGCGCCTGCGTTCACGCCGCTTCGCGGTGACGGTGTGCGGCTGCTAATTACAAATCTATTAACCCACCTAGCCCCCCCACCCCCCGTACACGCCGCTTTGCGGCGTCCGGTCGGCAACCCAAGCCCCGCTGCCCCCCATGCACTTCCGTAAATAGAGTCGATACGATTTAGTTTAGCGATGTTTCGTCAACAACATTCGTTTTTTTAGTGTTAATGGTAAAAAAGAAATGTAAATATCGCCAAATGCCTCGACAAAACAAAATGTTCGAGAAAAAAAAAATAAAAAGAAGTAAGCCGGCCCACACCATAAATAGAACCCGGGTCTGACACGTATGAGGCAGACATCTCACCACTAAGTTACGCTACCTCTTCGGAAACTCGCATTGCATCCGCCGCCTATGTTGACGGCGGCAGCGCCTATCTCCAAGCAAGCAAGCAAAACTTTATTTTGTGTAAGGGCCTACGTCCTGGTCTGGACGGCCCGTCCGGCCCATGTCTCGCGGATGGATTCCGTAAGGTTACCGTGTAGCCTTGTTCGTGGAGCAAGGCTTTACGAACCAGCCAATCCGGCGTGCGTGAGCACCGTTGCTAGGGTTTGTATCGCCTGCGCGTTAAAAATATGCCCGCGCGGGTCGGGGGGCAGTGCCCTTGGTATTCCTTGGGCGCTGCCCAGTGGCGGCCGTTTCAGGGGGGGCAAAACGCATGCCTTGCCCCCCCACTCTGAGAACTGGGGGGGGGGGCAAGTGCCCCCCTTGCCCCCCCGGTTGGTACGCCCATGGGCTTTGCTCAGTTGGTAGAGCGCTCCACTGGAAACGGAGAGGGCCCTGGTTCGCTACCAGGACTAGGCGGATTTTTTTCAGTCGCGCACCAGTCACGCAGCTGTGTTTGTAGATTTGTGTTTGTCCTTCGTCCCTCTCCAGGGATTAATATTGTCATCATTGTATAGCCGTCGCCACGCCAATAGACATATATACACCAACACAGTGTTTCCAAACAAGCCCGCTTTGCCCACACCAGGTGTGGGCAAAGCGCAGAAACCACATTCGGGAGGTGTGAGGCGTCTGCGCAGGCGCACTACCGACAGCAGCGCCACCGCAGTGGACTTACGTCCTAAGCATTGCCTGTGGCGAGCAAAATCTCATCATTTTCGGTCGCGTTTCGGTTGTGCGTCATGACGCTTCCTCCCATTGGTCGCGGGCACCAAGGTGGCAAAATGTCATTGGGGAATAGACATTTTCGAAAAATAACAAAATAAGATTAAAAAGACAAAAAAAAAACATTCTTATCTTTTTGATAAGAAAATACAGGGTGTCACAAAAGAAAATTTACACGGTCTTTTTTACTGCAAAAATAAACTAGGCATCGCCGAACGCTCATTCTCCGCCCAAAGGAAGAGCTAGAGGTCACAGCCAGATGCCAAGGTTTCAGCCTGATCCGATAACTTAATCAAAAGTTATAAGTGATTTTCTGAAAATTTCAATGGGAAAATGGAGCCCATTTTTGCCCGTTTTCGGTTTCTGGTGCCATAGAGCCCCATGTGTTTGAAAACTCTGTCGGCAACCATTTTCCCATTGAAATTTTCAAAAGATCGCTTATAACTTTTGATTAAGTTATCGGATCGGGCTGAAACTTTGCCATCCGGTTGTGACCTCTAGCTCTATCTTTCGGCGGAGAATGAGCGTTCGATGATGCCTAGTTAATTTTTGCAGTAAAAAAGACCGTGTAAATTTTCTTTTGTGACACCCTGTACTGAAAGCGCGAGCTGCACTATTCTGTTGTTAATATGAAACATTTTTTTTTAGTTCTTTCATACGCTCTCCTTCCGCGCCTAGACAGATGCTGACACACGCTTGTACACAACCTTGACTTGTGCATAATCAAACACCGCAGCGCCACTTTAGGCTCAATACATGCATTGCATGGTCGCGTCTTAAAGGTCTGCCCGCGCCCCCAGGCTGAGAGCAAGAGGCCCATAGAAGACATTCGTTTACCATTGTTGTTTTGCCTCACCTCTATATTATTACAATTTGCAGGTTGAAATGTTTTATTGTTCTTTCGTGGCCCATACGGGATACGTCTATTAGGTGCCTGGAGACGAGAGTAAAGCGCCGTTCACACACTTGCAACCGAGTAGGACCGACAGTGACGAGACCGGTTTCTAAGCCTCTTGTGACCGCGTAGGACCGGATGCGTTGCTGCGGAGCAGGCCCTACGCCGTCGCAAGAGGGTTAAAAACTGGTCTTGTCTCTCTCGGCCCAACTCGGTTGCAAGTGTGTGAACGGCGTTTAAAGGGCCACTGAAAAGAAAAGAATCGTTTCTTTTAACGGTCTGGTTAGAACACACGTCTCAAAAAATTAATTTTGGGCGAAAAAAAAAATAGTCTAATAATGGCGGCGCGAGACGTGATTCAGTCGGTAGTCACCTCCTTTCCACTTGTTTTCTCTCTGGGCATTTCGGGCGCGTGGAGGAGAGAAGCTGTGGCCATCACGTTGAGGTGGAGAGAGTGCATGACAATTCCGTGACGTCATGGACTTTTCGCGCCAAATTCAGACGCAACTAAAATAAATCTCGCGCCATCAATATTACTCTCAAAACTTTTTTTTCCTCGTAAAATTAATTTCTCGACACGCGTATCCCATCCAGACTGTTCAAAAAAAGGTTTGTTTCTTTTCAGTGGCCTTTTAAAGGAAATAAGGGCACAGCAGTGTATCACTACTGCGTGGGCACGTTAAAGTCCCCAGGTTAGCAGTCCTACTGCGCTGGCGAAATTGCTGATCTAAAGTGTACACCAGTGTCGCCCCATCCTGGCAGACCGACCTTACGCTGTATAAATCACTAAACGTTCAATTTAACTTTTGGGGGGGACGAAGCATGCGCAAAGCGCACGATCACGTGATGAATGGCCCGACGAGCACGTAGTTTTAACCTGAGCTTAGCGGGGAGTAATTCCGACGATCGCCCTCTGCGTTCGGCCATCTTTGTCAAGTGTGCTAGCTGCTAGGACGCCGCATTCTGAACACATGTATCGTCTTGAGCGAAATAGCTCGCGCCCCGCGTTTAGCCCTGTAACTCGGCGTTTTTTTTTTTTTCGCCTGGGTGACGAGAGCAGTGGAAAGGCGTCACGCACTGTTCCCCGACGCCATTGCGGAACCAGGGGTCGATGTCCTTGCGCATGAACATGGCCATGGGGATCTGGGAGATGGGGTTGGGCGCGTAGTAGAACTCGGCGTCCAGGGCTCCAAGCTGCTCGCAGCGGGCCTTCACACTCGCTGTCACCGGCGTCTGCATCATGATGATCACCGCCTTGCCCTGCCCCAGACATGGCACAATACTTCTAAGAAGTCATTCAATTAGTACATTACTAATTGCTGTTGCAGAAAGTAGCGAAAATGTAAGCAAGTTACATTACAAACGACCGCAACCTAAAAGTAATGATGTTATCGCGAATTTTGAAAAGCAGTGAAATTACTTTTGCATTTTCAATTCCCCCAGGCAGTAATGTATGTGCATTTAATTTTCATTATATATAAAGTCACTCGGATGTTTCTGTTTTCACCGCAGTAGCCACATGCGCCTCAACCTAAGCGGGCAGTCTGTCGTATTCCACGTACGAGGCTTTGCATTGGGATTAACCTCGTTTAGTTTGGCTTTCTCTCTTTGACGAAACAAGCCGAGTAGTCTTCTTTTCTTAAAGCTCGCCAACTCTTATTTAAGAAAAAGAAATTTCGGAAGTAATTATTTATTTGTTTACAAAATTACCGCCTGAAGGTAATTGTATTGCTAAATCACCAGCATAGGTAACTAGTTTAATAAATTACTCATTTCCCCCAAATTTGATTACAAGAATGTCATTAATGCTGCCCTCCACGCACACGCCGCGGCGACGGGTAGCATGAACGCCAGGGTTATAAGCTTACAACTCATGAACACGGTCACTAGGGTGCGGGGGTAGCGACCATCCCCTGCTGAAGAACGGTTCACAGGTTTATAGTGACAACAAATTGCTCAAAGTGCAAGTGAACTGGTGTAGATTGATCAGGGTAATAAACCTTTAGACTGAGGTGGAACAAAAAGAGTTAGAAAAAAAATAAGAGAGACAGAGAGAGAGAGAGAAGTGCTGCCTGTCCTTTTTTGTCTTATTGTATTTCTGTTGCACTCCAGTCGCAGGGTTTACCACCATGCTAATTACTAGTAGAACATTCCTGGGAAGGGCAGATCAACCTTCTCTGCCTCCTGTCTTCCCCACTCAGCCGAACGCTTCCGACAACACAGAATAGCCTCAATAGTGGACTATTTGCGGGTCGCGGAGGAGTAGCGACTGGACTATGAGAGGAACTTCTATAACAGCTGTCTCTCACGTTGGGGGCACCCCGAGTACAGTCAAACACTGCGTACAGCGTAAGCGCAAACTAATGCGGGAAAATACTGGCATATAAAGAGACTCACACATAAAGATGAGAATGTCACCTGAAGTATTCGCTTGAGTGTCGTGACGCTGAACATGTCTTTGTCCGGCAAGTCCCCCCTGCGACGGTGAATCCTCTTGTAGACCCTCTGGAACGTCTCTGATTTTGACGTCTGTGGTTGAACGAAACAGGCGAAATACGCGATACATAATAAACACAGAAAGTATTTTATGACGCCCTATAAGAACCCGATGCGCCCGTAACATTGGCTTTTTAAATATAGGTTGTTTTTGAGGCTCGCTCCAAAAGGGGTATTCACACGAGGGAGAAATCCCTTCCTTTGCTCTTCGGGATCGGTATTATGTGGCAACAACGTCACGCTTGTGCGCGGAGACGCGATGACGTACAAATGCTTGTCTGGCAACTTGACAGATTTTTCTCAGCGAGAAGCCGGCGGAGGCATCGCCTAACTTGTTGTGGCTGTTGCGCATGTCATCCGAGGCACCCGAAGGAGTCTTCAACATGCCGTCCTCAAGCATCTCCTCGAACAACGGGTTTTTGATTCGACATCCTTCATGTTCCATCGACCCATTCAAGAAGCATCTTTCTTTTAACAGGAAGCAGTTCGTCCTCCTCTGCATTGAAGAGCGCTGCTGCCCTAATCGCGTAGAGCCTTATCATGTACGCCTCCATTTTTCTACTCTCGTCTGCGCGAATCGTTGTCGAGAGTGCGACCGCTAATTACGTCTGATAACACTGACATGCCTCTCGCCCCCCCCCCCCCCCCCCCCCCCCCCCCCGGTTCGTGTCAACGTTACTAAAACACTCAGCTTGGGAAACTCGCTCTTGAAACCTGGGCCGCTGGCGTCCACCGAAACCGAGCTAAATACGATAACAGCGCCACCCTTCAGCGACGAGTTGAAACATGAAAGTTGCTTTATATGGCTACTGCAAGAACGCCGTGCGCGATGGCGCCCCCGGCCGTTCCGTGACTCGACGGAACCAGTAAGTGCAGCCGTGCAGTTCACGGAGTGGCCGATGCGGAAGAAATGGCAGCGTTGTGGTCGCCATTAACTCGGTACTGGGATAAGGATCGTCGCAACTTTTTTAGAGCAGGCCCTATGGCAGTTTCCCGACTGAGCAATTCTAGTAACGCTGGTTCATGTGAATCACGACATACTGTAATCGAGACCTGCCCACTAGAAGAGTGTGCCAGCGTGCACTTTGTAGTACAGACTGCGGCCGCAGCGTTTCGACACGCTATGACTTCGCGGCGCTGCACAAAGGTACTTTTATTTCATTAGCTATCCGCACATCAATCGTAGGCGCGCAAGGCGAGGCGGCGTTATCTGGTTCTAACCTTCTCTCCTCGCGGGCCTCGCGGTATCTCGTCAGTGAGTGACAGGTTCGTCACTAGAGGATCTGGCTGACAGCAAAGGTGCTATTTATGGGATATCCGAGAGCGCTCCTTATTTTGACGATGACACACAAGCAGTCAAAGCTAAAAAACGCCATTGCACTTCGGTGCCTGAGAAACGCGCTCTTTGGATCCAAACATACACGAGAGCGATGCGTCCTGCTGCAGTGTGCTGCTGCAACCTGCTGGCGCCACGCTACAGCAGGTGTTCCCGAAAAACCCTCATCAGATATCACCAGACGCGCACCCTGCGGACTGTTCGCCTAGAAAGGCAGGCTGTAAACATAGTTTGGGTCACAGAAAAGCCTCTGCTGAGCGCCCCCAACGGCAAACTGAGGCACTTGATCGGCGACAGTGTCTCCAGTGGATAGCCATTTTGTGGGCAGGTCAGGATTACACTAGGTAGTGGTGTGAATGCTCGAGCCCGGGATAAAGTCCCGCTGGTTCTCCCAATCACTGGTGTCACAAGCATCCCTCCCCGAAAAGCGTCATTCTTGTAAATATCCCTAAAACAGGCTGCACAAATCTGCCCCTGCACGTAGCAATGTAAAAGTTTCATCAAAGGTGTGCTTTAGAAATGTATTTTAGTTTGTGAAATTTGAAGTTGTAGCTCACTTCCCGTGAGATAATGAGACAAACTAAAGTTATTGGATCTGGGAAAGTAGTGCCATTGCCTTTTCACCTACTAGCCGGACACAAACGAGTACCAACATACAGGCGACAAGACCTCTGAAGGGGATTGGCTCATCGCTGTCGGTTGTCGTGGTGCTCGACATTTTGGACCCTTTCAGGGGTTCAAAGCCTCTACTGAGGGTCGTTTAAGCCAGTTGCACCAAGATCGCTATGGAGCAGCATCGTACTGAAAGCGTTCCTCGTCCAATATGAGCGTCTTTGGCACTCTGCATGCACTAAACTTATCATTCATGCTTATTTACCCAGATCTCTTAATATTATGTTGCTCTTATTGCATGTTTTAAGACAGTAAAATTATTTTTCAATGCCTCCACGCAGTGACGTTGCGTGTGATGGCGGTACAAAGATGTACACTCGGCCGTAAAAAAGATTGACACAAGTGATTCGTGGCCGGTGTGGTCAAACCGCCACACACGGCGCTATATTTCGCTATAACACGGGGAACGAGAATGGCCGGAACGTTCCCACTTTTGAATCGCAGGGGTGCTTCGAGGGAGATATATGTATCGTTTGTAGCAAATTCTTTTTTTTTTTTTTTTTTACGTGCGGCCTGTTTTTGAGGGTGACGAGTCACGCGTGAGACGACGCTTCTTTTCGTTGTAATAAGCAAAGTCTTCGCAGTGATATTTATTTTATTTGCTGTTTCAAATTTGTGCGTGGAAGACGGGAGTATTTTCCTTATAAAAACGCGAATCTTTCAAATCGCGACACAATCAATAAGAGAAAGTATAGAAAGCTGTAAAAAAGAGTCTGAACTTGATCACAGTTCAGAATAATTAGGCGCTTAAGTTGTTCGATCTGGCGATTATTTTTATTTATTACATTAAGTCAAACCGTTTTTGTTTTACGTGACCTCTGACGTAATATAATAACAAATTAATGGTTTTGATTAAGTATAGCTGTCTAGATATTCGTAAAAACGTTACCTGATGTTTTCTTAGAACAGATTGTTCGTTTATGCTGAGATCAACATGCCCTATTCTATAGCGTTGAAAGAGCAGCGCAAGATTTTATAATTGTTAATCGTTATTAAATTTAGGAATAATTTATTCCTAAATTTGTGCAATATTGAGCCCTCGTAAATAAAGTCGTTTACAATACATTCTCCTGTAATAAATATTTTCATAACTTTGGCTTGAATGTGGGTTAATTTGGGTTAATATGGTCAAACAGTTATAATATTCTTGGCATCGCAGACAGTGTTACTCTCATCTGCCAGCCTTGGCAGTTCAGCATCAAGAAAAAGTAAATGACCGTAGGCACTGATAAAAAAAGGATAGCGCTGTTCTCACCGAGCGAGCAAAAACAGAACAAATGTGCGCAGTCACGCTGTGTTGTTTATAAAGCGCGCTTTGGGAACGGCTCCGGTGTGTCGGCGTCCCCCGTGCATCCAAGAGTGGACTAATTCGGCAATCGCGACTCCAGCGTGCTTACGCTATCGAAGCGCCCCGTGTCGCCTTATCGCCGGCCAGCCCATCGCTGCCTTGTGTCAATCTTTTTTACGGCCGACTGTACGGCATCACACGTTCAGATTGGCCGAGGAACGCTTTCAGCACGATGATGCTTCATTGCGATCTTGGTGCGACTGTCTCTAACGACCCTTTCGAAGCTTCGAAGCTTTAAAGGGTCCAAAATGGCGATCACCATGGCAACCGACAGCAAAGCGGCAAATGCCTCTCAAAGGGAATCAGATATCCCTCCGCCACCTCCGCATCCAATAGCGTTCCACCGCTTCCGTGACGTCGCGGCCAACGCGCGAGGAAGGGCTTGCTTTTCTGTACATATTTGCTTTATCTTTCGACTTTGACTTAGCATTGTGGAAGGTACGAGAGGGAGATTAGAGTTCTCCCCCACCGACGGAAACAAATACGACTTTCGGAGATTAGCTTCCCCCCCGATGGATACAAAGGCTGCTTTCAGGGGCTCGGTTCCCTCTCCGATAAATACAAAGGTCGCTTTCTTAAAAAGTGGGATCGGAGACAAGTTTGAATCCATTGAAGCGGAACAAGGAGTGTTTCCAGTGAACTCTTCTTTCGACTGCGGAGAGATTTGAAACGGGCGCATCACGCTTGTGGGAGGAGCTTCTCCTACCTTCTTGACTTGTAACCGACTATAGAGAGGCTTTGTCGTTTGTATGTGTGCATTTGTTTGTGTCCGGCTAGCAGGTGGGAAGGCATGCAATGGCGCTGCTTTCCCAGATCCATTGACTTTGAGATAAACGAGCCTGCCACGGTCAACGGCTGATGACGATGTAGGTGATCGAGCTGGCGAGTGTTGTGCTTGTGAAGCTGTCTTGTGATAGGCCGGGCGAGCAGACGACGCACCCAGTCGAAACTAGACGACACCGTCGTCTGCTTGCTGGCACCACAAGCTGAACCCCCGCTAACTCGGTCATATGCGTCGTCGTCCACCGTGAACTGTGCTAAGTTGGTTGGTCGAATCTTTCACAGAAATGCAGCTACGCCTTCAATTTACACGAGCTAGGATTCAAGACTAAAATACACCTTTGAATAAAATGTAAGATCTTGATGTGCAGGCGCCGATTGTAGGGTCGGTCTTACAGCGACCCTGAGCATTGAAAATACCCTACAGTTCAAACGCGTTAAAGTTACTAACCGACACACGTGATCAAAACTGCACGGCACAAATTGAAATATAACGCTTTGCATTGCAGTTCGGCTTCTGTTGTAAGAGTGATATGAAATCTTCATTTTAACCTTAAAAACGCTTAATAAAAACGAAAAAACAAAACAAAACAAACCCGGACCTTACAGAGAGTTTTGCTCTCACGTCACGTCAGCCTTGATACAGAACTGCAAAGCCTCGTATTGTGTGAGCTCAACGTCCACGTCATATTTCCGAATATAGCCAGAAAACTAAAATCATAGTTGCCCATTATTTTCTAACTGTAATAGTTCGGAAATGTTAGTGTGCTTTTTTTGATGTCGCCTAAGAAAAGCGAGTGCAGTGCTCATCAAACTTATACCCAATATGTGAACTGTGGGTTGTCTTCTCATTGTGGAAGCCAAAGAACTCCTCCATGACGTGGTGTTTAATAGAGCAGCCCAAGCTGGGGAGGCCGCTTGTAATAGTTCGGAAATGTTAGTGTGCTTTTTTTGATGTCGCCTAAGAAAAGCGAGTGCAGTGCTCACCAAACTTATACCCAATATGTGAACTGTGGGTTGTCTTCTCATTGTGGAAGCCAAAGAACTCCTCCATGACGTGGTGTTTAATAGAGCAGCCCAAGCTGGGGAGGCCGCTCGCTGAAGGACGAAAACCGGGAATAAGGCAGCAATTTTTCTGGCGGGAAATGTGCGCTTTTCGGCACCCCTTCCCACTGCAATGCAAAGGCGACCGCCTCAAATGCGTTGCCCGCAGTCTCTACTTCGTTTCATCTACGGAGCGCAGGCGACGCTGCGAGTCGATGGTACTAATCTAACAGTGTCAAAATCGCAACGTCGTGGCGTTGATATCCTAGGTGCGTGTTATACATTGGGCAAACCAATCATTAAACCAATCAAGTGCAATAAACGCGCAGTGACTTTCACTTTTTATAAGTAAGCCCGCTATGTGTGTTGGGATCTTTGACTGCTCTCCGCATTCTGCAATGGGGTGGCTTCCTCTGCTCGGGCTCTGTCATTGGATGCTAGGTCAGCGCTTCGGTTGCAACAGGATAGTTCTCACACGAGGTAAGATTGGCGTGTTTTATATAAATTTAGATTGCACTCCACCTCTATCTTTTCGAGTTGGGGCATTTCTGGGGAGAGGGGCTTCTGAACTGGCGAGCCAGCCACCCACCCTGAAGAGCCAATAGAAGCCGGAGCTCTGGAGCACGATCGGAGTGATGGAATCGTCTCGGGCCACGTCCTCGATGCCCCGGATGCTGGAGAGATCGGTTCGCACCACCAGGGCGGCCTTCATCTCTCCCAGGTAGGACGTGCGCAGCACGATGATGCCCAGCAGCCAGAGGGCCACCAGGATTCTCTGAACCGTCGACGTCGGGAGGAACTCGGAGCCTTCGGGAGGGCGGGGGGACGGCGTCGGTCGTCCGGCGAGGCGCGACATACGTGACCGGGAGTTCATTGTTAGCGTGTGGCGGAAGCGCTTTTGCAGCCATTTTAACGGGTCTTTGTTACAGACCGTTTTATCGTGGGTAGCGCCATTTCGAGAGAGAAGAGGGAAAAAGGCTGCCGGCGCTTTCCTTCTTGCTGGTGCGTTAGAAAGAGTGAAGGTCCCGGATGAGAGGCTTCGCCGGTGTTGGGTGTATGCATTGCCCGAACTACGTTCGCGCTTTCTTATCGTTTTAAACTCCCACAACTTAAATACAACAACGGCCTTTGATGGTAATAGTCCCCCGGTCATCGGGACACCATTGCTGGGTTATAGGATGGACAAACCACAAAAAGCGTCGGACACTCTCTGAGGATTTATGTAGCTTGCGCGGAATCCGCCAAGTGTTGCTGCAATATATTTAAAAGGAAGCTACGGAGGTTCTTGCAACAAATGAGCTAGAAGTGAATTCTAGTGTATTTTTACCCCGTGAACCCGAATACCCCAACCATTTGCTGCGCAAGTATTGTTAAACGCGAGAAAACGCAAAAGACAGTCGCTGTACGTGACGTCATTGACGGATCTTTTGGCTGCCCAAGGCTAGGGTGGCGGGGCTTCAGCCCTATTTTGAAATTGCTCTTATGGCTCTGCGGCGCGTCGCATTGAAACATAATTGTGATATCTGTTATTTTAACGGCAATTGAAGTGTTTTTTCTCAAACGCAGAAGTGCCCCATCTTTTTCCACATGACGCCGATCTTCGGCGGCAGTGGGTATCGTCCGTAAACCAAAAACTCTTTTCCCCAACGCCATCCTCTCGACTGTGCTCGAAACATTTTGTGAATGGAGGGCACCGAACGCTGTATCGCCGATGAACATGGAGTTCGCTCGCAAGGTGCGTGCAAGTTTTCTTGTGATAATTGCTGTTTCACCTTGTAAAACTTTGTAAAACTGAATTTATCTTAGTATTGATATACTGACGTGGTGGCAGTGACTCAAGTTTATCAACTACAACACTTAGTTGAAGGCTCACTTCCGCCACCGGGTGTGGCTGGAAATTGTCGAAAAGTTAGTTATATCGTTTATCCTGAATTTCGATCTCCTGCGCGATGCAAAAGAGCCGTAACCTATGTTGACCGTCACAACGCAATTAGATTCTTCTTATTTTCAAAATTAGTACGTAATGTAGCTGGAAAGAAGCCTTCAATTTCTGTCGCTGAAAGTTGAAACATGCTCATGCATCGATTTGCAATCGTTGAATCATTGATCGACTCGCTCTGGCAATAGGCCCATCTCGACTTTGCTGTTTTCAGTTCTCGACAAAAGACAAACTCGTCGACACGGGATCCTCAAATAAAACGTTTTTGAACACCTTCAAGCCGGAGTGAGCTGCGTTCGATCGTTTCCTGCAATATTCTTATTGCGGGCGTTTTTCTTCACATTATATTTCATTTTTGTGGACAACACGAAGTTCCAAAAACACTATTGGTGTACGACATCTAAAACGACAAAAAACATGAAGGAAATTCAATCGCTCTCAAATGATACAATATTTTGAGTATACTCACCTCCGATTTCTATCGGTGGCCCGTTCAGTGCCGCATTTCTGGCGTCGCCGCACTGAGGGGTGCCAAATGTGGGGAAACACAACGTTCCCAATGAACTGAAAAATGCCACTGCGGCACTCAAGAACACAAGGCGAGCCCTAAGTAAGATACCCCGCACTTCGGAGCACTTACCTAGCACACCCAACGCAGGATCGGCTCCCAAAAGAACACTTTCGCCAACGTTTCTAACCACTCAGCATGCCCATGCACGGAACCGAATGCTCGTTAGATGGCGCTACAGTATTCAAAATGGCGCTACTCACGATAAAACGGCCTACCGTTTTATCGTGGAACGATCGAAGGCAGTTCACTCCGGCTTGAGGGTGTCCATAAACGTTTTATTCGAGGATCCCGTGTCGACGAGTGTGTCTTCTGTCGAAAACTGAAAAAGCAAAGTCGAGATAGGCCTATTGCCAGAGCGTATATGTAGAGAGTTTGGTCAATGGGAGGCGCGGGCAGAGCCAGGGTGTGCACCAGACTCGGAAAGAGGGCTTGACATGCTCTCTTGACCAACCAGAAGCCGAAAAGAATCCCCTAGCGGTGGTAGCGAGAAACAGCTCTGATCAAAGGTCTATGTTCGTAAATGGTTCTAATAAGCGCGTAAGTGTGAAGTGTAGTAACTCTTCGTGGTTGAAAATAGTGTGCACGTGTTGTTTTGATCATGGTCATGCAGAAAGATGTAAGAAACGAATGCGCCGCTCAACTCTGTTTTGCTCGGACAGTGTGTGACCGCTCGTACGGCAGATTCCCGGCCCTCGGCGGTTGGCGTACGGATTATGTCGCTCGTTCCGCTAGTCGCACTCTTCCACCATCATTTTGGATGAACGTGATTGAAACGTCACGTGTACCATATTTTCAGTCATCGAGAGTTACTCTAATGCAGTTATCAGGTTTGTTTCTCGCGACCACCGCCAGGGTATTATTTCCGGCTTCTGGTTGGTCACATTCGAATTTTGCAAGACGCCCTGTAACACGCCCAGCCCGCTTTTGGCCAATGACGCCTCCTCATTTGTCTCCTGGGTGATTTCAGATAAGATCGACCAAAGGGTGGCTGGTCGACATTTTTAAATCGACTGATGTTTTTATATGACATTGTCTAGTGTCTGGTATAAACGAATCCACACTTAGTTTTGACCAGAAAAAAAATTTGGAGACAAGAAAAATCGTAAGGCAGGGAGAGGTGGACAGTTGCAATAACGCGCACTGATGGAGGGGGCAAGTTTGAAAGTGAATAATTAAAACAATAAAATTAGGAGAATTTTAAAACTTTTTACAAACAAACTATGGGTACAACTTGCTTGTAATATAAAGTAATAATATTTATTAAAAATTTATTTAGTTCTCTAAAAATTGCCAAACATGCCTGCTCGAACGACAAATGGCAAACTTTGAAAATCTGTATCTCATGAAATAATTTAATCATTATTACATAACTTGCAGACATTATTTTACTAATATATGGCTATTATTGAAAAAAATAAATAAGGTATCTGAGTGACACAATAGTTACAATATATTTAGGCAAACATGGGAAAAAAATCAAACAAAGAAAAATTCCAATGCGAATAAAAAAAAAAACCACCTTCGATTTTTTTTAAATTTGGGTACCCTGTTATACTCTATTTCGGCATTCATTTCTATTAAAAACATGTTGCATCATTGCACTGTGAAAGAAGAAACAACTCCCCAAAGTAGGGTCCTTTTTCAAAGCCTACACTTAGCAGTGTCCTATACAAGAAGTGACTCTGAGTTCCAGTTTCATGAAACTTGCACAAATCTTTTATATACATTTATTCAGATGAGGTCATTGATAAAAAGAGCGATCGGTCACACAGTAAAAGGGAGGAGAAACTATATACAGCATTCTACATAAGCGTACAAAGTGGTATCATATTAGAGACTAATGATTTGAGAAAAGATGATGCAGTGTGAAGTTGTACCTTCCGGTATATTTTACATCTAGAGTAAAATAAATAACTTAACTTCCACACACAAAAACAAAGATATAATAGTAAGATATTTAGGTTGGCTGTGTATTTACGATTACAAACAATTTCAGGTGACGGATGCCATAGTGCCTAACTGGAGCAGCTTCGATGCTCTCGGTGTATGAATGAATCGTGGCAAGCCGATATATTTTATCCTGCTCGAGGATAACATTTTGGGATTTTTTTTTTATAGTGATCAGATAAAACTTATTAGTAACCACCAACAAAAACAGTAGGTTAAATACCCCGTGAAGAAAAATGTGATAAATAAGATGTCCCTGCATTCAAAATGAGCAGTCCTTGGGAAATCAAATTCGGCACTTTACGCTAAGGTTTTCCTCGCTGTACCCATTTAATAAAGTTGCTTCCAAGCAGATCCGACTGTCCGTGCTACATATACGTCACAGGTCCCTTCTGTTGATGACTTGCTGAGCCGCCACGCGTGCCAAGACTGAATGCCAGGGAAGGCGCGCACCGTCAGCCACTCTTCTTTTTTTTGTTCACGATACCGAACAACCTCATTTTCGTCCAGATATACAAGATGCACGCCTTTCAGTTTCTTTGATAAAACGCTCACCATTGTCCTGGCCGTCTGAATTGCACTTACTGAACGTTCTCTCAGGTTGCTCAGCGTGGCCTGGTGCTTCACGAGTCCGCCAACTCCGTCACATGCATTTTTCCCATGTCCAGATGCAGAAAATAACCACTGGGCTTGTGGGCAATCGTCCTTTGCAAATTGGTGAAGCTGGTAGCGATTCTTGAAATGACTGGCGGCGCCGTCACTTACGTACGTCACGTACGAGTATACCGCAACGTTGTCTTCAACCCACTCCTTCACTTTTTCTAGAGCCAAGCAAGCGTGAGCGGCGTCGTGACACAGGTCCTCACTGATGATGGCAAAGCTGTTTGTAGATTTTCTTGTCGTCACTACACATGTAAATATCGAAACTTGTTTTTTTTTTCCAGTGATATGCTTGCACTTCGTCAGGAAGCACGATGGTCCAGTTTTCAGCAAAGTCAAAATGAAAGACAATGCTCCCGCGTTGCATGCACTGTTTTTCATCGTAGATCGCTTTACCTTGCGTTTGCCGGATATGGTTGTGAAGTACCCAACTTCCAACCGTCACTTGGATGACTTTTAGGAAAGTCTCAGGTTTCAAAGTTTTTTTCACAAGGTCGCCGGACTCCCATGTTGCAAGCACAATCTCTTCATCCTCCGGGATATCAAGTTCCTGGAGTGTAAGAAACTGGCCTTTTGGGCAGTGATCACAGTCTCCTTGAAGGCACAGTTCTGTTGCTGGGTCGCACAGAAATGCCGAGTTCATTTCACCAGTGTTGAATGTTGAGCCTGTAACGTTCTCTAGA